CCCCAAAACCCCAAAACCCCAAAACCCCTCAATATTATTCATTGTTGACAAGTTAAGGGTGGATTTTAGGCATCTTTGGCAAGCAAAATCTGAGGATTTGGTAAAAACAGAAAGTTTTAGGGCGAAATTTTGAAAATTAGGGAGCTGAGAAGAGTGATGAGGGTGAGGTGAAATTTTTTGGAAAAATAATTTTTATGACTTTTAAGATGAAAATTTTATTTCAGCGATCAGATTGATAATTTAGGATTTTTGAAGTTATAAAAACTTTATTTGTGGTCGGTAACCAAAAAGTAGGGTAAAAATAAGCACATTGAGCTTATTGTATCACCTCTCGACCAGCTCTACCATGAAATTCACTGTTCTTTAGACAAGGCTGCACCTTTTTTGTCTTCTTAAAGCAGATAGATTTGGTCTATGAAATTATTTTCGACACAAACAATCATGATGGAAGGGTAAAGTCATCTTCCTCAGTATGTCGTTCTCTGAAATCTTCGTTTTCAATGTCCTCTTCAGGCTCTATCAATGGTCAAACCCGGATTGCTTACCTTTAACAATTTCCAGTTCTTTCATGAACTTTGGGTAAAATATTTTACGATTTTGGGTTAAATTCTCATTGTTATTTTTATTTACTCGAGGAACTTCTTTTGTGTCTTCGAATTGGTCCACATTGGAAATCTCGCTCTGCTTGTGGAGTCATTGCTTAGGCCTACAGCTAGAAGGAGGTTGATTACTTTGGTCTCCTTGCAAGTAAGCTACAGTCATTATTGAGTCCTAAAACCATAATTTCTTTGCTGCTTACTTTGCTTCTTGACGAGTTTCTTTTTCCCTGCCTTTGTTTCAAGTCGAGATGAAGGTCTTTTAAACCTTCCTGTATGTTTCTTATTTGCATAGATATCCTTTGAGACCTGATTGGATGAGGCTTTTGATCCGATGCTTCATGGGTTCAGTCTTAGTAGAATCGGAGTCAGGGCCTGTCAAGCCAATTGAAGCCATAGTGTGCTCTGCTATTCAGGTACTGCCCGTGAACTTGTTTAGTTGCTACAAAATTATTTTTTGTCTTTAGAAGGATAAGTACTCTTGTCTTTGTTTGAATAAGTTGAAGTTTTGGCTTCTCTTTGAATGCTGTTTTACCTAAATTTCGTCATAAATTTTCATTTAGTAAAGATCATTTAAAAATATCTTAAAATTTATATATTTCTTTATCTCTAAAATTGGTTTTTAACTCTAAAACTGATTCTATCTAACTCCAGTTACATAAACCCTTCCTAAAATTCGATTTCTACAATGGTTTTTCACAATTTCTATTTGAAATTTCACGCCAAAACCCCTAAATCCTCTATTTCTCAATTCCTTTGGTCCCTCTACCCCATCTGCCTACAGATTGCTTTAAAGCTTAAAATGGTCTTGGCTGAATTTCCAAGTGAGAGAAGCACATTTCTTACTGGAGGGAGGCTGATCGCCTTTAGAGTCAGATTGAGTCTCATTAGTGAACAAAAAGGCATCAAAAATGACCTAGAAATGAAGGTTTGAAGTACATCTTCGTCGCTTAGAGTGCTGGTTGGAGGCATCTGAGGAGGTTTTGGATTGCTAGAGAGGGTTTAGAAGTGGATTTTGGGTATGTTGGGTTTTTGGAGATGAAGAAAATTTTAAGTTTGAAGTGAGTTTAGGTGTGGATTTTTGTATTGAAAATTTGTAGGTATCTGAGGTTGAGGGAGTGAATAGTGATAAACTTGTTTTATAGTATGAGTTTATTTAAATAAGTCCAAAATTTCTCAAATTCTAATATCTCATAAGCATCTTAATCTTCAAAGGAGTCATATTCACTACTACATCAGGATTAATTCTAATTTCTCTTTAATTAGCGTTTCAAAGGTTTATCTCATATATGAAAAAATTAGAGAAAAATAAGATTCTAAATAAGCTTTTCAGGGATTTTCAATAGAGTTAAAAACACGGTGCTCATGTGTGACTCAATACAAGCCTTGCATCTTCTTAGGAAAAATTTAGAGCTAGCTTCATTCTTTATTTTAAAATCCATCAAAGTGCTCACCTGGGTGGCATAAAGGAGAATGTTTATTTTTCAAGAAAATTAGTCCAAGTGAAGTACCATGGAGTTGTGGGTGAGGAGAAGAGTTCCATTTATGTTGCTTGAAAACTTTTATTAATATTCAGTAACTTGTTCTAAAAGAGGGGTTTTGGGGTTTTGGGGTTTTGGGG